AAAGAGAAAGAGAGACCCCTAACATGGTAGTGGGGGGATACACACACACATACATATGAACCTCTGTAAGTTGGCCAGTCAAGGGTCTGTAGCAAAGTGATCAACATAAGGAACTAGGCTTACTGTACAGCTATGTACATGTGGTGCATATCTGGTCTATGAAAATTAGGTCAACTTAATGAGGTGGTCAATGTAGGCAAGTGGTCAAGTATAGTGGTTCTAATATATATGTGTATATATAAACACTACACACACATAAAGATTTAAGATTTCCCTAGTTTTCTGGAATTTATAATTTATTGGGCAAAAAAGATCTAAACAAAAAGAAATAAAGAATAATAAAAAGTAAAGCACATGCACTGTCAGTTTTATATTATTAAATGTGGGGTTAAAACTGCCAATATGTATAATGACTATATTATACAAAAAGAATGTATATTACTAGTCTAGTAAATTATCATGACAGCAAACTTCAGGATATGGGATGTGATGAGGGAGGACATAACAAGAGGTGAATTCTTACAGTATAGTCAGATTTTGTGTTTAAGAGAAATAAACTCTTTCATCCATAATTATTTACTGGATGTTCACTATATATCAGATATTGTGCTTAACTTCAAAAGTACAGTGATAAGATAAAATTATTCTAACTTCCTTGTTAGATCTGAGAATAAGAAAACTGAATGGATTAATAAATGAATGAAAGAGTGAAGACAAAGCCCAAAAGAAAAGAATGTTCAGGTCATGTACTGCAACCCACACCTGCAATACCAATATTTAGTGAGGACAGGGCAGGAGGATAGCTTGAGGCCAGGATTTTAAGAGGCTGCAGAGAGATATGATTGTGCCACTGCATTCCATCCTGAGTGACAACGAGTGACAGAGTAAGACCATGCCTCTGGGGTGGGGGAGACTTCAGAACAGAAGCAAAGAAAACAGTTAAAGCAGAAGAAATGAGCATGTGTGACCATATATAATAATTATTCTTCACAACTAACTGCCTGCTAGATTTTGGAACTTGGCAAAGATTATTTATAATAAGTCAAACTTGAAAGTCAATACAAACTTAATTTTAAATTTGCATTTACACTTTATTTGCAGTATAAATATGAAGATACTACATTATAACATCCTCTACTATTCACTCAATACAGCAGATAATAAACATGTCCTTTTTGACAGCAAAATAGAGGCCATTAAAAAACAATGACAATAAACCAGGATCAGATGTCTCTTTAAAATAAAAATGAATATAAATATTTGAGGAATACTTGAGTTACGTTAAGATCAATTAAAAATTTTAGGCAAAATCTACATTAGGGAAAACCTATTCTCTTCTAAATCGAGTCCATACAGAATTATTTTGCATATATTTTTAGAATTTATGAGTAGAAATTTACCTAGGGGAATAGTTGTCTAAAGATCGTTATTTGCATATGTTTATTTAAAAAATATTTTACTTTGGAGGTAAAATATAATAAAGATTTCCCTCCCAAAAATATAAGAATAAAAGTTCACACAATTCAAATGTATTCATCTGTTTACAAAGGCATAAGATTAATCTCATATTGTCCTGACTGCATAAATGATCACGCGAGACATGGATTGACAGTACAGTCCAGTGCTGTAAGAGATGAGGTTAACCATAGGTGCCGGATAGCCCTGAGCACTTCTTGCAAGTCCTTTAATGTCTTGGCCTAAGCAAAGACATGCTGGGGCTGCTGTGCTCAGGAAAATGATCTCATAGGTGCCAACAGAGTATGTGCTCAAGGAAACGATCTTCAAGGGTGGTAAGGAAATGATCTCTAAAATACTAAATGCAATTTTTCTCCACTAATCCTTTAAGGAACTGTCCTAAAATGCTTAATGTTTAACAATAGGCTTACTACTACAGTACTGAACTTTACGCCTCCAGGATTACTGAGTTACTTGGTGGATTGCCTTCCAAGTCACAAGAGATTTCTGGGCTTGCCAAGAGAATGACTTGTTCTCAGTAATTCCTCAGATGAGTTATGATATTGGTAACTGTTGTAATAAGTATGATGTTTAATCCTCTATACCATATATTTGGTCCTTTATAGATATAACATGTCCAGGGTCTCTTTATTTTAATATACCAGCCAAGAGGTAAAAACTTGTAAGAAAAGACTATAGTCTCATTTTCAATTTATTCTTGATGTCATTGCAAGTAAATCCACCTTTGGTAACAACCTGGCAATGCATAAATATAGATGGCTGGCCTGAGCTCTGGTGGAGGTTTCCACACTTCAAATTCTGTGAAGGTCCAACTACACCTATTTTTCCATTTGGACGAACTATTCACCCAGTAACTTGAAAAAAAAAAGTCTTTATAGAGATATGTATCAGCCAAATGATTCAGAAGCAAAAAGAAATTGGAATTCAATAAATGAGACACATACAGAAAGGGAAGAAGGAATAGGTGTACAGTGGACTGCATTTCTATTCCACCTTGGAATGCACCCTCCCCCATCTCTGCCCTGTCTGTGTCTCTCTCTCTCATTGTGCACATGTGTATAACAATGACTCCATGACTACACAGTGCTTTCTGAAGATATTATGTCTTCTTTGCCTATAAGGGAGTTTGGAAATGAGAAAAAAGGACAACCTAACATTAACACTAAGATGAGTTTATATTAATCTAGGAGCAGACTCTCCATTTATACTTTCCCAGGTATTAATAATATTGATGAAAAACTAATCATCACTATAGAAATTGTTTTTGAAATTGATTTTATAGAGAATATAAATTGAACTCAAATTTAGAAATTTTCTGGCATGGAGATTATATATGAAATGTTTAATTTCCTATTTTTTCTTCTCCTTTACTATTAAAAGTTAATTTAAGAGTATTTCTACTCTTTTGAAAACAATTTGAGTTGAGAGAAATTGCACCGTATGCTCTGCTT